GTCCTCACACACCCGTTACAGTAAATCTTACTCACCCTAACCCTATCCCCTAAACCCCCTAACCGTGTTAGAATATCTATCAATCGAATTAAACTAAAAAATTGGCTAAATTACTAGCATGCCTTAAGGACATAAAAACCCAATGATTTTAAACCCAAAAATTGAGCATCAATTCTCAACTGATTCCCTTCAAGCATCCAAATTCCAAAATGTAATTCAAGGTGCCTTTTTAAGTTGCTTTAGCCTGCCTACCTTGGCTGCTTCCTCTGCAAGCCGCTTTGCAACCCAGCTCCAACCCTGCTCCTCCTTTTATGCTGTGTCTGATTTAATCAATGTTATTTCTGTTGTCCTTATGTTTGCTTTGTTCTGTACCTCAGAGGGTATTTGCTGCTGCTCTCCCTGTCTCAACCTTTCCATGTATGCAGATGGAAGAGCAGGGAGGTCCTAGAACAAAGCCATAGCGCCAAATATAACATTATGCATTTGGAAATAAAGTTTTTTTTCTTTTGACAAAAGTGGTCCTGACTGAACTGTTTTTGTACCTGGCCCCAAACACCCCTGAAACTCATTATTTATAAAGATTATTGTGACTCTAGATGGTAGTACCTTATCCAGCATCCCTGTCAGGAATCTTGGAGTAATCTTTGATCGAGATATGTCCTCTAACTCTCTCATACAGCAAACTTCTAGGACTACCTTTTTTCACTTAAGTAACATTGCAAAAGTCAGGCACATTGGAGACTTTTAAAATGGAAAGGACAACAACGATTTAAACATGTACATACGCAATACTTTCAAACATTGCACATGAACATACAGACACAGGCTTATTTTATTGTATAAAGTCTATATATGATTATATTCCTAAACATGTTGTTGGATTTTGTTATATTTTCTTTACTCTTTGCACTACCATCCCCTGTCCTGTTGTGCCAACTAAGCACAAGAGTAGGCTTAGACATTTCTCTTTGATATAGCTTATAGTTAGGGGTTGGCTCAGGTAAGTCCTGAACTATCCCTTAGTTATGTTGCTATAAGCCTAGACTTCTCATGATGCACTGATCTCCTCTCTTCCGCTCCCTCTCCATCTATGGACTTGTTATTGAACACAACTTGTTGGACTGGACCAGAGGAGCTTATACTGGTTGAGATAGTGATAGTGCATGGGTTTGTCCTATGGACCCTTCTCTAACATTAAAACTCCTGTCTTGAGGCAACTTTGAGGGGATACACTTCTGCAAATACAGAAACACAAACCCAGCACAGTCTGTTACACTATGACTGATTTATTTGTGTGTGTGTGTGTGTGTGTTCATACTGTCAGTAAAGCACTCCACAGGTGTGTTTGCATTTTGATCTTCATCCTCTTCGTCCTCCTGAACTTCAGGAAGTTTCTGCACGGTGCTGCAGACCGAGGACGCGTCACACTGAACAAGCACAGGAAATACATTTTAACCTCACAACCTAAATGTTTGTATCACATAATGAAAACACAAAATAATTTTATTCTCAAGAACCCATAATTCCAGTTTGTATCTTCCTGCTATCCACAATCTGAATGAAACGGAAAATACCAATGATTTTTACACAAAAGCAGTTGGAGCAACAGGCTCAGACACTAAGATAAAACTGGGTTTCTACTATCAGAATAAAACATATTTTTGTGTTGAGGAAAAAGATTATAAACCATCATGTCTATGCTGGACTATAGAAATAATCTCTAATGTTATGCTGCTCCATTTTAAGACAGCTTGATGTAATTCAGTGTTTTATTACAATATATAAATTATGTTAACTATAACTACATTGAACTACATTATATTCATTATGGTCTCCTGAATCAGTTTCTCTTCTCTCTACTTTCCATCTTATAACTGGATCTGTTCCAGAGGATTTTAAAACTTTAGTGTCTCATTGGTGGTCGATTTTAGTCTTTTAACATGATTTCTATTTAATGTCTGATTTTGAGTTTTGTTTCATTCTCTCTGTTGTACTCAATTAAGTAAATAAAATAAATGTCACATCTTTATGAAATAACTGAATGAAGAAACTATGGAACAGAACAACTGTTTACTTGGGAGAGCTGTTCTTCCTCTTCCTCTTCCTCCTTTTCGTCATCATCGTCATCATTGTCAGGCATCTCAAAGTCAGACTCTGCCTCTGCGATGGGAACGCTGAGGGGGGCAATGTTGTGGTAGTTGCTGGTCAGGTTGTCATGGTTACAGCCAAGGGATTTAACCTCTGACACCGACTCGTCCGAGGTCACTAAGTTCAAAGCCAAAAACTCCTTTGTCATCCTGTTATCTTCCTCACTGTCGACTGCTAACAATGAAAATACATACAAAAACACACAGATAAATGGAAATGCTCATAAATAAATACAAATGCACATAAATAAATACAAATGCTCATAAATTCAGCCATAAATGTTCATAGAGACATAACCCATCATAATAAAATCTCGACACTGAATAAAAACAAAATCACAAAACAACACAGCCCACCAGTTAAAGGTCTGGTCCTACTGGTGTGGTCTGGATTAATGTGGTCCTTCTTTCCTATTAAAGCCCAGATATGTTCCAGGATCCAGGTCTTTGTCCAGGCCACAGCCCTATTGATCCGGTTTATGGCGATCTGCAAGTTGTTTTCTCCTTCATCTTCTGGAGCTGCAAGATTATCACCGCTGAATGAGCTCAGTAACAGGGCCAGGAACAGGTTCAGGACCTGAAACAAGACCAGGAACAGATTCATGACCTAAATTAAGACCAGCAACAGATTCAGGTAACAAAACCAGGTAGAGATTTAGGACTGTAAAGGACAAGAAAACACCTGTTCCCTGATTGATTTAGAAATTTCAGACTCTTTGTTCAGCCTCATTCAAACCAGAGCCCCAAACACTGACCCCAGACCTGGATTCTTAGTTCAGTGACACATTGAAACCAGATCAGGTACTCACCACCAGGTTTCCAATGACCAGCACCATCATGAAGACAATCAGACACATGGTCTGACCTGCGACCTCCATGCAGTCCCACATGGTCTCGATCCACTCCCCACACAGGACCCTGAAGATTATGAGGAAGGCATGGAAGAAGTCGTACATGTGCCAGCGAGGAAGCTCGCAGTCCAATGAAATGCGACAGACGCAGTCTTTGTAGCTTTTTCCAAAGAGCTGCATCCCGACCACGGCAAAGATAAAGACAATGATCGCCAAGACAAGGGTCAGGTTCCCCAGGGCACCCACAGAGTTCCCAATGATCTTTATCAACATGTTGAGGGTCGGCCATGACTTGGCCAGCTTAAACACCCGCATCTAAGACAGGTGAGGAGACAGGTAAACAGGTAGACAGACAGGTGAGGTGACAGGCAGACAGGAAACAGTAATGTTGATGATGTTGTCGCACTAACCAATCGGAAGGAGCGCAGCACAGACAAGCCCTGAACGTCAGCCAATCCCAGCTCCACCAGACTCATGGTAACAATGATGCTGTCAAAGATGTTCCAACCCACCTGTAATCATGGCAACAGAACACATACACGTGTCACTATGGCAACAGATGTCAACCATCATCACTAAGCTGGTAACGAATAAACAGGACGTCTGACCTGGAAGTAGAAGTATGGGTCCATGGCCAGCAGTTTGAGGACCATTTCAGCTGTAAAGATCCCTGTGAAGACCTGAAAGGGGTCAGAAATCAAAGGTCATGGGTCAAGGATCAGGGATGAGCAGAAGGAACAAATATCTTTAATTCTGGCAGCCCTTTTGGACAAAAGTGGTAGTTTTTCTACC